TTTGTTTTTTAATACATCTGCAAACACTCTGCTGGGTGACTAACAGAACACCTCGCAATATGGTTACAGAATTGCTTCCCTTTGTACAAATAATAATAATAAAAACCTACAGTTAGAATCAGTAAAAAAGGGGTTTAAAATAGGATTATTGAAGAATCTGCATGCCTAAATCCAAGACCACTTCAGTATTTCATATTAGTCATGCAGCCAGTGTATAGAAGTAATAAACAGTCTTTGGCACTTGGACAAGCCCCAGTGCTATCCCCTCTCTTCTAAATCCTCTAACCAAGAAGTTATAGGAACACACTCATGTTAATATGCTCTAATTACTATAGTAAAATGTTATTTTATACATAAGGAAGCAATTTCTGAGACAGAATTACCACGATCCATCTGTGAGCTTTGCTATGTAAACTGCTCATGAGAGTTGTGTGTGTTAGCCGTGTGTTTTTCACGTACATTCCTTGAAAACAAAGGATATAGGTCTGAACTCTTCAACTACAGGGTGGGTCTGAAACTGGGTATTTCGCTTCCTGCATGTGTGCCTGAACAACTCAGGTATTGCTTTAAGAGATGAAGTAACTCTGCTTTTCTGTGGGCAAATAAATAAATAAATAAATAATCTAATCTTGAAAAAGGCTGTCTAATCTTGAAAGAGGGTGTGTAGACACTAACACTCAAGGGAGAGGTCTAGGCAGTGAAACTCAAAGAGGACTGTGCGTCTTATGAAAGCGAGATGAGATGTAGGTGCCTCAGTCCTCTTCATTTCCCTCCTGGACAGTGTCACACACAGCAGGTTTTCCAGGCCTCACTCTATTCTTACTAAGCATTTTCAGGCACCTCACATTTCTATTTCAAGTACAAAAGGAAAAGCAGGAATTGTAATACTTATTTCTATGCTTTGTAATGTAATGCTTTGATGTCTAAACTTACTTTCAGGATTTAGTCTCACATATTTTCTCTATTACATATCTCTAAATACTTCTCATGGAGCAAATTATAAATGATCTATTTTGGCATTGCTTTTGGGTGAAGCCTCGTAACAGGCTGTAGTGCATATACAACAAAGTACCAGAAGTGCTTTGGAAACCGAGGTTACTAATGGAACAGTCATTCAAATATATTGAGCTGATTAAACTGGAATAGGGAACACAGACAAATCTAGCATAAAAAGCCACCTTTTTACCACATACTGTGTGCCATGCAGCAGCAAGAGCGAGCTGCTCCATGAGAGGAGGCGAGCTGGGACCTGGTGGTGACAGCAAGGTTGGCAGGAGCAGTGTCCGCCCCAACAGGAGCAGCCCCACCACACCCGAGCCACAAGAGCAGAGCAGGTTTGGTGATGGTGACCAGTTTTAACTGTGAGCTCAGACCGCTAGACAAGTCTGTGATGATGAGGCAGCTCTGAGGTCAAGCAGGGAAGTCAAGTGAGGCTGAGGATGAGGCAGGTTTATGATCAGGTAGCATTAACACAACTCAGACAAGGAGCGCAGGCAAAGGCGAAGCTGAAATGCAGCTCCCAAGCCAACAGGAGGAGATTCCCACCAAGGCTTCTCACAGCTCTGACTTCCTCTTTCAGTGGTCAGACCTCCAGTTACACCACTGCAGAGCTGGCCTTGAGACAGACAACCACATCACTGAGGAGAAAGGGTTGCCTTCCCATCCCACTCAGAGCCCTGACACTGTGCTCCAAATGAGCTTGCTAGGACACTATTGGGTTAATCTGGGGAAGATGACACCATCCCTAGTAACTGAGGTGCTTAAGAGATGTGAGCTTGGACTTTTCTCAAGCTGAAAGAGGCTAAAATCCACATCTCCCTCTTGCTGGGTAAGCACTTTAGTCACCTAAGACACTGCTTGAAAGTGGTTACCATGAGCTTTTTCATTGTGTTTAGAAAGAAAACCTCTCCTGCACAAGCAAAGGCGTTGGTGTTTGCCTGTGTTTGAGGGCTCCGGAGCTCCAGCATGGTCAGGGACCTAACTGAAGTAGTGCGCCTTCGGAGAAGGGATGGGGGTAAAGTGGGCACTCAGATACACCATAGCCTTTCCTATTTGGTAGTTTATACATATTTCTAGTTGTCTTCGATGGTGTTCAACTCTCTAGTTGAACCTTCTGTCTCTCTAGTCAATTTGTGAGTCTGGACTCTTTTATCAGCCCCAAGTGCCATCATTGACTATTATTTCCTTCAAGGCTTTTTGGTTATTTATTTATTTATTTATTTGAACAAGCATTCACCATAGTACTTAATACTTTCTACTCTGGAGGGCTGTAGCACTCCCTACGGAAAGTCTGCAGGATCTTGATCTTAATTTCCTCTCAAACAGATCTTTTCCCTTTTTTTAAGGCTAGAAACACTAACTTACGCCACAGATGATATTTATCCTTTTCCTCCTCTCAGGACTCATTCAGGCAGCTTCACTGCCTCCTCAGGGGTACTGAAGACTCCTGCTAGCAGGGAGGGAGCAGCTGCCCTGCAAGTCCTGCTCCCTCCCCAACAGGAATGGGCTGCTAATCTGCCACCAGCTCACCTTTGCCTTAAAAACTGATGCACTCAAAGGTCGCAAAGGTGCAATCGGGCTGCTCCTCTGTAGTCTGATTTTTGTTTGCCGTGGATAGGCTGGTTTGTTTGCTTTGCACTTAAAGGCCACAGTTTACGCGGTGCTGTAAAACTCTTAAAAATCACATATAAGTAAATATGTGCAAAACAAATAATACTGAAAATTAGTCTGGCAATAAAAAAGTGAGATATCACTATTGCTCAATAGTGAGATACTGTTATTGTTTAATAATGTATACTTACAAGGCTTCATTTTGCTGTAGAAAAAAAAAATTATTTCCTCAAAATGTCTTCCCTGAGACCATGAAATCCTTAACATCCTTTTTTAAAGAAAACAAGTTAAACTACTATGTTTGAAAAGTGCTGTGCCTCACTGTCTGCTGCACAGCTTTGTAAATGACAGCCATGTATGAGGCCACTGTTCAACCGAAGAATCCCAAACATTGCTAACAACTTAAAACTGAAAATGTTGAATTACAAAACTAAGATATGTAGATGGCATAGCATTAAAGAAATTATTCCATAATTTAGAGCTTCCTTTCTTGACCCTTCTGAGCTGGTTCTACAGTTACTCATTTCCTTACTCCTGATTCATCAAAGCATTTAAATAGTCCAGATTTCAGTGGGATTTAAATGTACACTTGTTGATTCAGTGCTTTAATCAGAGAAAATCCTTACTGAAGTCAGTAGGATTTTTTTGCCCCTGAACTCCGGGAACTAAAGTTTAGATCTTTCTTTATCCGAGTCTGCACAACTCTAAGTTGTTAATTAATGTCTTTGGTAGTTGTTACTACACACCACTCACCGCCCAAACCAGTTCTTTCACTCTGGCTATTTAATCTCTGGTTAATAATATTAGAGACAAGAGGAATTTCACAGATGGGGCAGCACTGCTGGACGTGGAGACAGGCTGAGAATAAGCTTCTAAAAACATGTTACAGGTGTCTCCTTTTTACATTGCATTTAAATACGAAGTAAAAAGACACACCTTCCCCCGCTTATCCCCTCTTGAATTGCCACTGTAGTTTAAAGTATTCAAGTATCTTGCTGGCTTTGTTTTCTATCACTTTAAGGGCCCAAGTAAAAGCTTTTTTTTGGGGGGGAAAACAAACAAACAAAAAATGCCCCAAACCCCCCAAAAAACAAGCATGTGTTCAAATGCTTGAGGAAAATGTAAGGGAGAAAACATACACAGAGAACTGCCATTTAAATACAGAGCAGCTGCTACACACGAATTATTTTGCTGAAGTTTCTAACAGTGTCTGCATCCTTTCACAGCACTTAGCATGTACATAGGCAGTAATGATTTCTACAGAAGCTACTTTAAAACATACTTTTCCAAACAGACTTGTAGCACCTATTTATTTTGGACTCTTTCTATACAATCTGGTTCGCAAGGCAGAATACTTGACTAACACCTTGTAAGGGTGAAAAGCTACCAAAGGCACCAATGTTTCGGTGGTTCCATAGGGCTTCCAATGCCTTCCCAATGCAGGTGCAGGTTTGTAAGTTTTACCTTGGTTCTCTGCTTTTGTTCCACAATATATATATATATATATATTTGCCCATTTAAGTTCTGCACATTTATGTCCTAGTTTCCACTAAAATCAAATGTTATTTTTGTTGTTGTTTTAAATTAGGAACAAAAAGTCAGAGCACTGCTGGGCTTGTTACTGAAAAATCTACTGTTGGTTGGTCTGCTGTTTAACCAAGGCAGCAGGAGACAGGATTTTTTTTTTTTTTTTTTT